TTTTCATGACATCCCATAGGTTTCCATAAGATGTGTCTTTGTTTTCATTTGTTTCCCAGAATCTTTTAATTTCTGTTTTGAGTTCTGTGTTGACCCAGGAGTTGTTCAGCATTATGCTGTTTAGTGTCCGTGTCTTTGTGTGTTCTAGGGGGATCTTTTTAGTGGCAATATTTATTTTTATTCCACTGTGATCTGAGAAGACGCATGGTAGTATTTCAACCTCATGGAATTTATTTATGCTTGATTTATGGCCAAGGATGTGGTCAATCTTGGAGTATGTTCCATGTGGTGATGAATAAAATGTATATTCTGTGGTTGTTGGGTGGAGTGTTCTGTAGGTATCTATTAAATCCATTTGGTCAAGTGTCAAGGTAAGGTTCTGGATCTCCTTATTGATTTTTTACCTCGCTGATCTATCTAGGGTTGTTAGTGGGGTATTTAAGTCCCCAGATATGATAGCATTAGAGTTAATATTCTTTTTTTTTAGTTTACTTAGTAACTGCTTAATAAAAGCTGGTGCTCCAGTGTATATATGCAACTCCTGCTATTTTTTTTCCATTCACCTGAAAGTTTGTTTCTGGCTTCTAACTTTGAGTCTGTAGGTGTCCTAAGGAGGGAGATGTGTTCCTTGAGGCAGCATATTGCTGGGTCATGCTTTTTTATCCAGTTTGCCATTCTATGCCTTTTCAGTGGTGCATTTAGTCTGTTCACATTCAGGTTGATTATTGAAGTGTGAGAGTTTATCATGAGTCTCAAAAAATTATTCTTTGTTTTTGTCGTTTTTTAACTTTTGGTATATATGTGAGTTTTAAATTTTGTAGTCATGATGAATTATCTGTTGATTCTGTGTTTTCCTTTACTCTTGCAAAGTGCATGGTCATTCTTTTTTTTCTTTCTTCTGTGCTTAATACCTTCTTAAACATCTCCTATAGAGCTGCTCTGGATACAGCATAAACTCTTAGGGATTGGATGTCTAGGAGTAATTTTAATCCTCCATCACTGATGAATTTAGTTTAGCTGGGTAGAAAATACTTGGATAGACTTGTTCATCTTTGAAAATCTTGAATATTGCACTCCAGTCCCTTCTAGCCCCCAGCAGGACTCAGCTCCTAATCACTTTCTCCATGGTCCTCAGTGTCAGTGACCAACCTGTCACTGCAGGTGGTGGTGGTGAGCTGGGTGCCAGGAACTGAGTGGCAGCTGATCTCTGTGGTCTCTTCCTGAAAAATGCCCTGAGGGTAACACTTGCTTCTGCACATGGGGGGTACCAGATTCAGAGCAGTGGGAGGTGGCAGCTGCTTCAACAGGGGAACCCCAGGTCTCCTATTGCTTGTTCCCATGTCCCCATTTAGTCAGACACTCACACAGCCACTTGTACACACACACACACACACACACACACACAGAGAGAGAGAGAGAGATTCATCCTTATGCACACTCACCCATGCAGAGACTCATAAACTCTGATCAGTTTCACAGCCATCTTGCCAGTCTCCCCTAAATATGTGATTTTTAAAAGGCTCTCCTCAAAAGCATGAGCTTTCCTGCACTGAGAAGTTTCCTTCAGCCATGTCCCTCTCAGCCACCCTGCAAGTCTGCCAATGCTGGGATCTTTATCTTTTTTATCTACATTACACTTTTCCAACTATGTAGATCTCAGTAAAGTTTTGCTTATTGAAATGCATTCTACATAGTCTAAACAAATCACATAACATTATCCTCCAAACACATAAACTCATACCATAACTAAACCTTCACTCTAAATTCACACCAGCCTCAGGCACATACACATGGCTATAGTATTAGCCACAGAAACAGAAAGCTAGAATCCTAATGTAGAAAGGCAGGGTATGAGAGGAGAGCCACCAAATAAGACTGCCTCTGTGAAAACTACATAGCTAGGAATTTTGCCCTCCTTAGAGATTTCATCGTTTAGTGTGTGACACTTGATTGAACACTTTAGAAGATCATGTGGAAGAATGTGATATTCCAATAGAAAAACATGTTAATGAAAATTTATTGAGGTTTTATACATATTCATAATTTAGTCTTCACCAAAACCCTGCCAGAAGGGTTCTGTCACCCCATATAGACTATAGATTTTTTAAAAATTGATTCTGAGAAGCCATATAAGTTGCCTACGGTCACACAGTAGCCAAATCTCCTGAATATAATAAGTCAGGAGCTTATTATTATGTACTCATCATTATCACCAAAGGAGCTATCAATAAAAAAAATAGATGCCTGATTGACATATGGTAGAATTTTCAGGGACAGTAGCAGTCCAGTGGAATCCAGTTTGATATGTGTTGAAAGTGACAAGGTGAGGAAAAGCTAAAAACACCAGGGTAGAGGACCTTTTCTCTACCAGCATCTGCCCATTGCCCCTGTATGTGCCACAGGCTCTGGGGACCCAAGTCCAATTATGAATGGAATATTCCTCAACTGGCCAGTCCACATGCATACATTTTAGACCCTGATGGCTTTCAATTTTAATTAGCACCTCTTGAATTACAACCCTGCTAGATGGTCTCAATGGTAGTTTATATGAAGAATCTTACCTAGTGACAGAATGATAGCCATTGGGCTGACAGAAGTTTCTTCAAAAAAATGTTTCAAGCTGAATCAATTCACAGGATCATAGAAAAGGAAAAAACTTCATTTTTAATGGGATGCCATTTTTATTGAGATCATTTCAATAACTTAGTTACTTTTAGACATTGAAACTACTACAATAAACTATCTTGACACAAAGGCATACAGATATGTGATGCATTCATAATCTAAATTGGTTTGGTTTCAACTACAAATGATTTATCTGTGATTTTTTTAATGGTTTGCTTCAAGAAACATTTTTAAAATTTTTTCTAAATAATCTGGGCATCTTTGAAGGACAAGTATCCCCACACTGACTTACACTCTTTTGATCCAGAGGCATCCAGCTGGCAGGAAATTTGCTTCATGGCAGTCATAGGCCAATTTTCACACAAACTATAACTCATCAAGAAGTTCTGCTTTCTTGGGGATGCTTTTAGACCCATAATGCTGTGCTAATTCCAACCCTCTGCTTTACTCACATACATGAATGTGCTTACATTTATTCTCAACTGGTTAAATTTCAAGGTGTCAACCAGACCTTGCTATAAGAACATCACTTTAAACATGGTTTATGATAAATGCCAACATTCTCATCCTCTATTCTTAACTAATCAAAGAACCTTCCCACTTTTTATAGTCAAAAAATTTAATGATTATAGCTCAGGAAAAAAAAAGCGAGATAACTATATGTCCACTAATAAAATCAGGAGAAAGAATTATCCAAATATATGCTATTAGGCAAACTCATTTCATTTGATAAACATTTTGTTCCTATGAAATCTACTGGTCTAAATTTTTCTGAAATTCCAGGATCCTACACCAAATCTCACATCAATGTACTTCAAAGTTAACCACAGCCCATATATGTCTCTGAATACAGTCACACAGGTTGTACACTGTACAACTCTTGGGGTATCAGTCACATTTAAAAGTCATAGATGTGAATATTTGTAATCACAATTCATAAATTGGCAAATGGAAGTAAGATGTGGGTTTTTCTAAAACAAGTGCATTATAATTTTCCAACTGAAACTAAGAGTGTTTTGAAGAGGGAGCATAGTTTTCCAATTCACACAAAAACACTGTATAGATTAGCAACGATCCTGTCAGAAACCAATTTAATTCAGTTAAATTAGTTAAATAAATAATTTTATAATATATATAACAAGGAGCAGGGAATCTTTGTTTTTTGTTGTTTGAGGGTTTTTTGGGGGGGTACTTACCACAAAGAGAAGAGTTAACCACAGACCCACTCATCTCCCATAAAAGTGACTTAAAACACTGTTTTTCCAACTTATAAAAAGATTGTCATATCAGTTTTGTCACTGCACATTTACAGACCATGATAAAAGGGTCACAGGGATTTCCTCAGAGAACACTTTATAAATTAGAAAATAATTGTCCCAATATGTCTAATATATAATAAAAAAGAAAAACTACAAAATAATTTAGTGCCATCTATATCCAGAGAAGACAGAGAGAAAGAGGAACAAGAGAAGGGAAGACGGGAACAGGAAACAGAAAGGAAAATATAAAGGCAGGTGGGACTTGGGGTATAGGCAAGGGAGGAAAGGAGAGGTACAAATGAACAAAATCAAAGGATATAAGCATGTCTAAATAAAAAGAAAGAGATGCAGAAGAAATGGAAAGGGAGAAAAGACAAGTGAAAAGATCAAAGGAAAGGCATTATAAGTTCTCAGGTGAGTGGTAATTAAACAATAAACTGATTTGGTTCTATTTTTTCTTTGACTTATGGGAGAAGTTACTTTGGCTTGCTAAATAGGTATGACCCAGTCTTCACAGCTCTTTAGCTAGTCACTATCCCTGTACTTTCCAAGATTCCTGTATCTGCAGTTTACCAGAAGTATAGCTATTTTCTTGAGGACAATAGTAAGGTAACCACATAAAATAAAGCCAAACCAAAAATTTAAGAGTAAACTACTTTTCCTGAGAGAACTGATAACTGTTGATATTATGTGGATAGACAAAAGAAATGCTGACATTCTGATTCCATAAAGATGTTGAACAGTGAATAATTAAAACCCACCACACCTAAGATATGGCAGAAAGAATACATCAGGAGTCAGTTTAAATTTTTTAAAAGTATACAATGTGGAATGGTTAAGTTAAGCTAATTAACATCCATTATTTGATTTTAATCAATAACTAAATAATAAATGAGTAAGCGATCAAGGAATATCTTGGTCAGATACCATAAAACGATGTAATCAATGTGTACTTTCTTAGGATTCCTGAAGGTATCAGTTTAAATATGAAAAGAACAATTACCATAGTCATGTCACAGATCATTAAGTTCTCCACAATACCCCACCCCCTCCTACTGTCAGACACAACACACACACAGAGTACCTTCTAGTAACAGTTTATTTCATTCTCCACAGTGTTCCTATATACCTAAGTGTGGAAAAAACTTTGAAGAATCCATGTCCCTGGTGACTGTTGTCATGGAAAACTTCAGGAAGTACCAACACTTCTCCTGCTATTCTGACCCAGAAGGAAACCAGAAGAGTGTCATCCTAACCAAACTCTACAGTTCCAACGTGCTGTTCCATTCACTCTTCTGGCCAACATGCATGATGGCTGGGGGTGTGGCAATTGTTGCCATGGTAAAACTCACACAGTACCTCTCCCTGCTCTGTGAGAGGATCCAACGGATCAATAGATAAAAGCAAAAATGGATGAAATAATTTTCGTTAAAGCTCAAATACTGTTTTCTTTCATTCTTCACCAAAGAACCTTAAGTTTGTAATGTGCAGTCTGTTATGAGTTCCTTAATATATTCTTATACGTAGAGCAATAATGCAAAAGCTGTCCTATATGCAAACATGATGTCTTTGTTATTCAGGAGAAGAAATAACTGTTTTGTGTTAGTTAGTTGTTTTCATAATCGTACTTCAATGCAGGAACTAGTACTTCCTTCTCTCCTTCTGCCATAATAGGGCTCAGTTATTCATTTGCCAAGCTTGTGGAGGAATGTAGATTATATCCATGTGATAAACTCTGTGTTCTGAGTTGTCAAATCTCTTGAAGACAATATTTTTCATTATTCATTGTTTACTAAAGCTACAGCCAAAAATATTTTTTCTTCTTATTCTAAACTGAGCCCTATAGCAAGTGAAGGGACCAGATTTCCTAAAGGGTGTTAAGCATTTTCCTTGTATTTTTACCATATCACTGTAAAGAAGAGGGGAAACCCAGCCAGCTACATTTCTTTCATTATTTTTTATTCATAACTTCAGATTTTTAAAACTGATTTCCAAAAACTAAGCTGTTTTCAGTAACCAATTCTGGAATATCTTCCTGTGACTTATGTAGAAAATGAACATTTCTCCCCTCCCCCCCTTCCATTTTAAGACCCTACTACTGTGTGAAGAGATGATACTTACAAGGCGTTTCATTGCCTGTGAATTGACTGAATGTTGGTTGGTGCTCCATTACAATCTAGGAAAGTCTGTGTTACTAGGATATGTTTGTGGAAATATTTATTTCATTTCAACTGAACTGTTAGATGGAAAAATTAAGATGCTACTTGCTGGAAAAAACTGGTTTCAGGGGTAAATCTGTTGTGGCAAATTAACATGTTGAAATATTGCTCCCTGGGAATTTATGTTTAAATTAATGAATATGTAGTCTCTCCTTCTGACAAGTGTTCCCTACCGGGATTTTAAAGCTATGTGCACAGAATATTTGTCTCCTCTACATGTTTTATTTTTCTATTTACAATTCCCTTTTCGTTGTTATATTTTATACACAGAATAGACCTTTTTTCTAACACATTTGAACTGAATAACAGATTTAAAGAAAGCCTTTGTTCACATTGCTGTTTACTTATTGTGCTTGGGGAAAAATGAGAGATTGGTTTTTAAAAAATGCCATCTTTCATGCAATATCAATATCAAAAGGAGAAGACAAACATCTATCTTTCTCATCTATATTTAAGTACCTTTTTGTAATGTAGTATCAAAGTTTTTTAGGTATTACAAAATTTTACAAATCACTTGTGGGATGAATGGTATAACTAATCTGATGAAGTGGAAATTATTCTGCAATATTGTAATTCATAGTTTGACTTTTCATAAGCAAATAAATCTGTAGGTTGTAATCAGAACTTCAAACGTGTAATTAAAATTTTTCTTAAAAAATCCAATAAATTGCAAGATTGGAATACTTCTTGCATTCTGAGCTGACAAGCCCATGGAAGTCCAATAACTTGTAATTCACTATATGTAAAGGTATTTTAAGTGATTGCAAAGAAAATTAATTTTGCTTTTAACACCCAAACACATACACACAATGTTGTGAACTTTTGAAAAATATGATAGAAAACTCTTCATTTTTACTTTACCTTAAAAAAAACACAATTGTAAAGATAATAGAGAAATCTTTGGAACTATGGAAATGAAAATTTGTCATTCTTAATTTTCCTTGGGCTTGCCTTCAAGTAATCCAAGGGTGAAGTATATGTGAGTAAAATTATTAGTTGAGTTTTTTTTTTAACTTCCTCTGGATTTTTAATAAAAATTCCCAAATGATATTTTAGATAATAATGTAGAAACTTCAAAATAATGACACCAAAAACAGATTAGTGCCATCTTGAAACCCAAGATAGCAACAGCCCCTTCAAGTAATTTAGATGTATACACAATTAATGCTCATTATTAAAGAAAGACATAGGACTATTAATAAAGTTTTAAATGCTTTTCATGTGTTCCCTAATTGAATCTTTATAACAACCCTATTGGAGGGGGCAAAATAATTATCTCTTCTTACAAATGAGAATGTTGAAGCTCAGGGATGTTCAAGGTCACACAAATACTAAGATGATGGAGAGCTGATAAAATAGCTGCAGCTTTCCTGTTTTGGTGACCATGTCTATGGTTTTGGGATTTTTTAGCGAGCACCAGGGGATTCTGGGGTTTGGAAAAGATTATGGAGTGAAAAGAAAGAACACTGAAATGGAAATCAAAAGACTTTTTTGAAGGTATGGTGACTAGGTGATTTTAAGTTTCTCAATGAGACTTTCGACTTCTTTGACTGTAAAACTAGGAGGTGAGGCCAGTTGACCACCAAGATCCTATTTGACACTGACATTGCATCCTGGGTGTGTGAAAGGAAAAATGTATACTATTCTCCAACATTCAGAGCACAGGTCAGATTCTCAAGCAGAATCTGTACCTGTTAATCTATGGATTTTAAAAAAAAGTCTTTCCTCTGATATTCCCCAAAAGTCACTTGCCTTTCTAGGGTTCAATCTACAAGAAGCAGGGCTCTGAGTCTCACATTATCCAACAAGAATGATTTCCCCAAATGGTATAAACGTCTATGCTTTCAAATCACTTTCATAATCCAATTGGCACATCCCATCTAAAACTTTATTGATTTCCAATTCCCTGAGTTGCAACTGTATTAAAACTCAGAAATGGTAATGCACCAATGATTGCTTGCAAATAGCTATAATAAAATCTATGATTCTGTAGAAAGCCACTGGTGAAACACTATCTGATTGTAATGATAGTGTGGGCAATCATAAAATACCTCTTATGTAGATCACATGACATTTAGAGTTTCAGCATATTACCCTTTTCTCATTGCTGTGAATGACCAGAAAAATGCATGGCATTTATAAAACAAATATTATTTTCAGTATGTCAAGCGATAAGCATCTTATCACATTTCTGTGGGTGAAACACCCTGATGCTGTAACTCTCCATTGTTATTAACAGAGAGGCCTGTAGGATAGCTGAAGTGAATTAAAACAATAAATTTAAAGGAATTATTTGCATAGTTAAATTCTCCTCCACCATCACCAAAACACCAGAATGAACAATGTGCAAGCAAGCAAGTGGGAAGAGGAAGAGATTAAAGGTTAGACACTTTGTTCCTTCTCTTATTCTACTTTTTCCCTCTCCTTTCTAAAACAATTCAGTAAGAACAGTGTCACAGTTCTGCAATAACCACTCCAATGCAGGTACCACGTGGGAAATTTGATTCAAGGAACAAAGTTTCAGGACTGTCCTGAAAACTTTGTCAGAATGATGTGCAGACTGAACAAGCAATTTCTTAGTGGTCTCTGTCCACCCTTCCACATATTAAGTAATTGTAAAGGATAATACAAATTATTTATTATTATTTTTTCTCTTTTAATCTTTATTTAAAATTGCAGGGTACAATTCAGGGCTAGGTATACAAATATTCACTGTGCAAGTACCCTTATCAATGAGGTGTGCCCTCCCTTCCTCAGGCAGGTATCTACTGTCAATCCCACCTCCCCACCTTCCCACCTCCCTCTCCGCAGATTCCCACCATTTTCAGTCCTTTTCTTATAGTAATATGGTAGTTGTTCAAGGTCCACTTATGAGTGAGAACATGTGATACTCAGCTCTTTGTTTCTGTGAGAGATCACTCAGTATTATAAATGCTAATTCCATCCAGGTTATATGACACTACCTTCTCTCTTAAGAATGAGTTTGTGATCACCTAGAAGCATCCTGACAATACATGTGAAAAAAAATAGAGAACAACCATTAGGTCTCTCATTCACTTGAATGAAGATAATATCTACAAACAGTTGGTATGAGGCTTAACTGGAATATGTACACAAAATTCCTAGCACTGTATACAACATATAATAAATTATTATGTCATAGTAATAATAACAATAATAGTAATCATTATTACTATGACATAAAAATGATAATTGCTAATAAAATATATCAGTAGTATTAGTATAACCACTAGTATATTGTCTCTTAGAGATAGAATAGGTCTAAACTGTCATTTTACCCAAAATTCACACCCAATGCATAAATTTCTTCTACAACATCCTTAGCCGGAAACTTCTAGTGAGAAGAATGATTACTACTTGAATCTTGCCAGTGTTAGGATAGGTCACCACTTAATTCTAGAAAGCTTTCCTAGTAACACTTTGAAATCTGCCTCCCTATAACATCTACCCACCAAATCTACACAAAATAAAATCAACACTCCTGTTACTAATTTTATTACTAACATTTCAGTGTTATTTTACTGAAATGAAGGCAGGAATGGGATAAGAGCAACTTTCATTTGTTTAGAAAATAAAACTATGTAAATAATCCATTCAGCCAGAAGTATGATACATAAATGGAAGTTTATGAAGGTAGCATAAATGACATCAACTTTGAAAAGTTAAGAATCTATCCATTAAAACCTAAATGTTCATGTATAAGTGATGAGCTAGTTAATCCTTCTGATGCCCATTTTCATTTAATTCCTGCACCAGTCTCTCAAGTATCATTTGGCATCCTGAAAGGTAACACTGTTCAAAATTCAACATTATGTTCTTGTTCAACTTTATGAGAACCAGATTAAGACTACTTAAAAGCATGTTACTACAATCACCATGGGTTTAGTTTGGCTATAGTACCATTCATTCTTCAGTGTAATGCTAAGGAAATAGAAGAAAATGTAGTCTGTGAATTTCATTTCTGACTGTGAGTGTTTCATTTAGGAAAGAAAAAAGTTGCTTTCTCAAACAATATAATCACTTAATCAGGGCTTTCAGAACTGTTCTTTATTCAGTTTTCATAAAACTAATTTAGTCCCCAAGCCCTTTCAAGTTGTATCATGACTTGTTGTCAACATAGTATATTAAAACCATGAAGAAGGAGTTTAAGTCCTCTACAAAGTCCACCAACTACTACATTAGCATTACCAGAAATTCCTTTAGGTAGGAGACACAACTTTTCTTTATAAAAATCTCTCCCTCTCTTCTCCTCTCCTCTCCTCTCCTCTTTTTTTCTCTTCCTCTCTTCCAGCAAAGATATCCCCATCAGTTATATGTTCACAAATTCCCTATATCTATAATTACAGAAGGAGAAAAACCTACTAATAATACCAGTCCCAAAAAAAGTCAATTCTTTTTGTCTCACTAGTCCTCTACTGGGCCCATCAGTATGACTCAGGGGTTAGTAACCACCTACCAGCCAGTCTGTATAACATGGTATTACATGCCCACCTCTGTAACAATGGATGCTATAACCCACTAGATGGGGTTAAGATAATTCCCCCAAAGAAAGACTGGTGCAGGCTAAAGAACAGAGGAAAGGGTGCTAGACAAATGAAAACAGCAGATGTCTACCGCAGGCAACTTGGACAAACAGCAGATTCTTCTCCTAGCACAGATTTTGGTTGAAGGAGAAAAAGAGTACCACACATATGAAGGGGAAAACAAGTATGACTGAGAAAGTAAAGAAGGAAATGAAGAAGCAATGCTCAGAATTTACGTAGCAATTTTTCTATGACTCTTTTGGTTATCTTATGCAATTTAAAAGGAGGGAAAAGCACTTCTGATTTTCACTAAATGATAAATGCAGAAATAGTTTGGTTTTAGCAGAAGACAAGAGATTCCCTTGGAGAAAGGTGATGGGGCAATTGATATCACAAGAAGAAGAAAGATTTGATAAGAAACAGGACTAGTTTGAAAGAAGGGAAAGGTGTGATAATATACTCTGTGGGAAGGAGATTGGGAATTTTAAAAATCCAATTTAAGCAACCATTGTTATTAATCAAATATGAAGCAATTTCTCTGTTTTTCTTAAGGCCTTTATCCTTTGGGTTGAGTAATAGCTATTTGGTCTAGAACAGATTCAATGACTCCATTTCTTGCTTACTTTGGAATCAATCAACTTAAGAAGCAAATGAAGAGATGAAGGAATGAGTTCGGCTTTCTACCTTGTAGGTTTCTACCTCATAGGTTTTTCCCATCTAACATTTAAGAAAGTGATTTCTCCTTGAGCCATCCATGAGATTTTTTGTTGCAGATAAATCAACAGGAAGCGTTACTCATCATCCGAGACCTCACCTCCCTCTGCAACATTGGAATTATACCTGAACACCTATATGATGCCCTCAACTCAAGTCTGTCCAAACTCATCATCCTCCTCTAGTTGGAGAATCATCAAATCTCAACCCTTTTATTTGCTGTATTAAAATTCCAGCAGTTTCCACCAGGCAGCTGCAAACTCTGACACTTTAGCTCCTTATCATGGTGAGTGAACACTATAGGCCCTCCCTATTCCTTCTTGAGCATGACAGAAGTATCATTTTGGAACAATTAACAGTGTCTGTTTCTAACCAAATACATTCAGCTGCTGTAGCCAACAGCTA